GAAGTCCCTGTAAATCATTGCCGCTGCAGGAGCACGCGCCGTGCTCCGCTGGCAGAATTGAGCCGCCTCGAGGATTGTCGTAAGTGGTGCGGCGGGACAACGGGGGAAAAAAAAATCTCCCATGAGTAATTCTAGTGTGATAATACGTGAGTCATTAGCGGCTGCCTGTAGCTAACCTGCTTGGAACACGTGTTTAGGAGATATTGAAGGCAATACGCAGTTCTTGGCTTCTCTCGTCGCTCTGGACGCTCAGCCTATCTGAAAACGAGATTTTAAACACCTGCTCGGCACAGGCGCGCTTGAGGAATCCACAGAAGAGGTTTCCGTATCAAACTACTGCAGAGGGACAGCAGGCAGTGTTCTCTAAATTAATAATTTTTTAAAATGCTCTTCATCCTGCCTATTTCTACGTGTCATTTCAGGTATTGGCCATCTCCCGCAGGCATTTCAGTGTCTCGCCCAAGCCGAGTGGATTGTCCTCAGGACTCCAGGCTGCAGTGCTGCTCTTGAGCATAAGTTACATCGCTGCCTGGCGCTGTGCTGCGTCGCCGAAGAGAACTTCGAACGGGCTTTATATCACCTGGCCAACGATGTAAGGCAGCTCCAGAAGCGCTTCAGTTTTGCTCCCTTCTCTAACACTGCCAGACCGGTGTGGAAAGCCCGGCAGGCAGATCTGTGATCCCGAGGGGGCACACGTTGCAAACACCTGAGCCATCTAGATCCAAAGCCGCCGTGGATCTGTGTGTTTGCCAAAATTGTGCTTTCCCAGTTGTCGCCATTTCCTCGAAGTGACACGTACCTTGTGTTCGCTGCATCTGCTTCTAAATTTATCCATCAGCTTTGTTACGGCCCTGAGACAAGCAGACATTCCTGCCCTTTATTACTACCCTTTTATTCAACAGAGAAGTTACTTTATGTTATGGCTGTCGTTTTCCTCAGTACTTTTCCATTAGGTGACAGGTCTCCCTCAGCCATTATTTAACGAGTGCCTAATTTAACTAATTCAATATCTGGTTCGGTAGCATTTGCTCCCATTCAGTCTTTTTAGCCACGAGAGCAGTTTGTCAGGTTGGAAATGGTCGCTGACAGCTGTGTTCCTGAGGATGCTTTGCCTGTCATTTGATCCCCAAAGGCAAAACTCCGCCACATCCTATTTCTGTCCCGCGCAGGCTAAATTTATCCTCTGCAGAGTGATGGATACCCTCCACTGTTGAATTTGATAGTAGCTTTGTGTGGGTGTTGGTGATGACAAACGGGTGAGGAGAATTAGATCCTCTGTGTTATAATACACACAGCCCTGTCTTTGCTCAGTCTTTAAATCTTTCGGGGGGATTCCCTGCCTTGCCCTTGTTTGTTTAGGTTCCCTAAATCAGCTGCCTAAAAGGGTGTAAGGTAATAGGTAATTTAATTTATTTATTTTTTTGCTATTAGCAAGTGGCTGGTCTACGTCAGAGCAGCCCGAGACCTGCCTGAACTTTTGGCTGCATGTCTGAGATCTGCTGAGAGTCACACGCCGGCTCAGAATAGCTGGAATTCACCCACCCCTGCCTTCCCGCTCCCCCCGGCTCAGGCTGGAGCTTCGTGGGGGGAAAACGGGACCTGAAAAGTGGTGGCGAGTTCCATGCTCGAGGCTGTGAGATGGGACAGGTTCACAGGGAGAGGAGGAGATGTGGGAAATCTGCCCCGGGCTTCGGCGGGGTCACACTTCAGCGGAGGGGAGGGTTCCTCTGCCCCAGCGAGCAGGGGGTTTGGGGGCGTCACATTCCTTTGCCTAAAACGCGAAATCCAGCTTTTCTAGCACCACATTTCACAGTCATAATCAGGGATAACTAATGCTACAGTTACGTGGGGGAAAAAACAAACAAAAGGAATACTTGCAATATAATTAATCCATAATGACAAATTTCCCGGGTTTGATAAGAACATTAAACTTCTGGTTTTTGTGTTTTGTTTGTTGTTTATTTTTTTAATATCGGTTTCAGCTTTATCTTGCTAGTTCTGCATTTGGACTAAAATCGATTGAGACCTCTGAAGGGTATTTCCACATGGCTAACATTTTCTTTCACCAGAACAAAACGGACGTAGCAAACTCACTCTATGCTGAGGTTAGTAAAACTGAAGGGCATCCTCTATCTATTTCTCTTTTTTTCTTCTGTGCTCTTTCCAATGTTTTTCCTCTTTCTGACTGCCTTTAATATGGCAGCAACCGTATCGAGTGCCAGTGTTGCTTTTTAGGGTCAGTCTTCATCCTTAATTTCTTCGAGTTGAAACCAGGAGCGAGAAATTCCATACTTCAATTTGGGCAGCAAAACCTTGTTAGAAAATCACTTGGCAACCAAAAAAACCCTTTGCCAGAGCTTAAAGAGAGTCCCACAAATAGAGGGGGTCACCAAGGAGTTTCCATGGCCAGGGAAGAGTTGCTGAGCAGCACTGGGATACAAACGAGCCTCGTAAAATTGCACTGAGTCAGTGAAAAGTCATGTTGATAAACGACTGTCAGAACAGAGTGATCAGGCAAGGGAAGGAACAATTTTCTAATTGCTCTGATAGCTGGGGGGGCGGGGAAAGAAATGCACTTTCACTTGTTTAGCCCGATTTTCTACGGCAACGAGGTATCGTCAGCTGCGCGATCTGCCTCCGTTCCTCTTTTGGCGGAACGATTGTGTTAGATTTGCTGAAGTTTGATGAAAATTAGCAATCTGTCAGCAAAGTGAGCTCCCGGCTAAGGCTGCCGCTGGGAGAAGATTGGTCAGATCTCCACGTGAAACATCCAGCCCGGCAGCTCTCTGGTAACCAGCAGGCACTCTGGTTATTGTGGTAGGGACGTGAATTGCAGGACACATTGTTTATAGAACGAGTTGCTAAATACCACGTATTCATACAAGTGAAATAATTCGGTTGTTTCCTGATAGGTAACTGACATCTGGCATGCCTTTCTCGTGAGGTCAGTTCGAGCGCAAGAGCAAATTCTCAGGTCCCAGCCGGAAATGTCTCCGTTCACCGAGGACGAGGAAGTCAGCAAAGTCCGTATGAGTAAGCGTCGCTGTTGCGCAGAACCGTTTGGAAGACGGGATCGTAAAGAATCCGTACACCTGGCGGGTCGTATTTACGGCGTCACGGTTTGCGTGGCGTTTCTGTAGGCTGAATTTACTGGGAATCACGGGCGCTTCTGATGCTGATGCTCAGCAGATTGCGCCGGGTGAAACAAATGAGGCCACTTTAGGAATGAGAGTGTTCAAGTGGCATCATGGCCTTTGCCCTTTTCATTTACGTGCTCCTTTTCACGGCGCCCTTGGCAGTGTCTTTAACACGACAAGATTTTGCCTCTCAGGATTCGATTCCGTTTCAACATTCTCGTTTCTCCTTTTGAATATGTGCAAGTGACATTTCGTCTCAGGCAGGTTTGCAGCTCTGCCTTGTGGAGCGGTAGGACACGATGGAGTAGTGTGTGTGGATAACTGAATATATATTAGTTGGGAGAATACTCTCGGGAGAAAGGCTGGGGAATCTCTCACCGGGACATTAAAGGTGCATAAAGCATTAGGAAATATGCCGGTGTGCACGGTGCTGCCCTGTGCTCCTCCAACGCCAGGCTGCACTCAGGTCCTTGTCTTCTTTCTCCCATCTATGCCAATAAGAATATTGTCAGGGAAGAGAAAGATTTTGGTAAATCCCACGACCTGGCGTTGCCTCCATCAGTAGTCGCTGCGGGAGGAACCACACCAAGAGAGGCTGCACGATACCAGCCTCGGGAGGGCGAAAGTTGCTTTTTCGCTGCAGCTGTTAGAGCTCCACATCCTCGCTGAAGGCTGATCAACACAGTTACTGACGGGATGAAAAGATACCTGTGAATGGGGGTGGAATTCGCGTGGAGCTGGGATGCCGCCTTGATGCTTGTAGTAGGAACACTTTGATGTCTCGAAGAGATAACTGGCCGGTTTTGAATACATTCCCTTGTGTGCATGTGGACATCCAACGAGATTATTATTTCATTCTCAATGCAGCTGAAACTCAGCGAGCAGAAGCCGCCCGAGTACTGACCGCAGTGTTAGAGATCAGGGAACAGGCACCACAGCAACAACCCAAGGAAACTTCCAGAGTTCTGCATGCTCTCGCCATGCTTTATTACCTGAGCGGGGATTTAGTGAAGGTAAGTTCCCTTGGTAAGCTCGGTGTGAAGTTGGCTCGTGATCTGCACTCTGTTAGGCTAAAATCCCGCTGGATCTGGTTTTGGCTGCGGTGGGTCCTGTTGTTATCCACGTTTTCTGGGTTTGTCCCTTCCCTGGGATATCCTGGCAGAGTGGCTGCAGTTACACGGCGAGCGAGACGTGGGCCTCGCCCGTGTCTCTCCTTGAGCCAGACTCCCCGTCATTTCTGTGATGTTAACGCATGTTCATTCTGTCGGAGCCTGTAATTCCATTTTGAATTTGCACCCCTATGCCTAAAACTTTCAGATGCAACTGCTGACTTCAGAGTGCCTTAAAACCCATTGATTTTGAGCGGTAACCATCTGGAAATCAGGCCTCTTTGTTCAGGCCGAGCGCTCAAAATCCTGAGTTTCTTCTGCCTGTGTTTCGGAGGGCGAAAATACAGATTGCTAATGATCCTCATTGTAACAGAAAAAGCGCTAATGATGTGAGTCAGTGGTTGGAAGACACAAAGAAACGAATTCAAATTAGAAAAAAAGGCAAAGCTTTATAATTGTGCGAATGTCTAATCCCTGGAAGAGCTACCAAGGGAAATGAAGGATTTAGTTCAGACTGAGTCAATACAGCTGGGTTTTTTTGTTGTTGTTCGATGTTGTTGTTTTTTTTTTCCCCCTGAAATAAGCTTTGGGAATGTTCAGATGAGATGCTGGAGGAGATGGGACATAATGGGGGGGCTGGGGCTGGTAATCTCTTCTGTCTGCACCACTGGATCCTAGATATGATATCTGTCGGCAGCTTTACTCTCTCCTGTAAAGCAGCTTGTGCAGGTCACCCTCTGAAGGAGGCGGCTGAGCAGCCGGAGCCTGGACCTGCTCCAGCGCAGCTTTTCCAATGAGCCTCAGCAGGTATTTTAACTAACCCCGGAGAAAAGCCAAATTCCGCACAATTTGTCTCTTCTGTTCGGTTCCAGGCTCGTGAAGCGGGGATGAAAGCCTTCGACCTGGCGAAACAACTGCCCCAACAGGAGCCTCTGGAAGCCATCGGTCATTTGTTAAAGTTGATTAACTCCAAGCTCCCCTACACAAAATAAAGAATCCTTTCTGCCACAGCCAGGAGTTCGGCTGGGTTATCTGTTGCCGAAAGCAAGAAGTGTCACAAGCTGTAGGGTCCTTTCTGCTGCTGCCATCGTTCCAGATGTGCCCCTCTCGGTCTCAAGGTGTTTGAAAAGGAAACATTTTGGCAGGAGGGAGCTTCATGGGCTGCTCAAGGTCTGCAGCCCGTTACAGAATAACAGCGTGAGGGTGGGAAACAAAAGCACAACCCACACGCACCATAAATCATTATCGGGTGATTTATGGGCAAGCAAACAGCCTCTTACGTCCTCACATTGTCCGTCCACAAGCTGAGACCAGCTGAGGTGTGGTTGTTACCAGTTTCCACAATTTGCCTCTCCGTGTGATGAAGGAGATACCAGGGAGGGATGCAGAGAGGGTCTTCAGTGCACACCTGACATGAGTGGTTGTCATCTGCCCCCAGGACCTGGCTGGGCTGTTGCCACCTCTCACAGTCCCCCTCCAGCTCCACATCCACACGTTCTCTTTCGGCAGAGCCACAGAGGCTTCTCGTAGCTTTGGGCACCAAGAGACTTGTTCGTTCCCCTCAGGGAAGAACTCGCATCCAGCAGGGACCACGAGAACAGCGTGAGGGGCTTGAGGAAAAGCCGTCTTGAGGGAAAGAATGAAAAGGGCATCTTGCTCCAGTCACAGCTCCCCACGCCAAGGAGATGTGGTTTCCTCACGGCTGCGAGCTCACCAGCGCTGAGGCATTCCGAAACCTCCAGAGGAGGAAGCCCCTCATGTCACCGTAGGATCGTTTTGGCTGGAAAAGACCTTTAAGGTCATGGAGTCCAACCAGGGAACCCTACCAAGGACACTCCCAACACGCAGCTCTCCCAGGGCGGAGGGTACGTGGGGACCCTCAGCGTGATCAAGGGACCTTGGCGAAGGGCAGGAGGAGCGCGAGGGGACAGGGCGGCGCGGGGAGCCGGGTCCCGACACCGAAGCACGCAAGGGCCCCGCGTGGCTGGGAAAGAGGCGAAGGGAACCTCGCCCCGCTGCCGAGGGCTGGGCTCAGCTGAGCTTTAAGCCTGCGATTAAGTCTCATTTACTTCAGGAGGATTTACGAGCGCATTTAATTGCCTCGCTGAGTTGGGCCGGAGTCAAGTTCGCTTTTTAACCACTTCATCAAGCTGGGACCTGAGCAATTGGAAGGGATTGATGCTGCCGGCAAAGGGGAAGCTGCCGTTCAGTTACACAGGGTGGGACGG